TATCCCCTTCACTGCAAACTATTTAGTCAGGAAAAAAAGGTTATGCAGTCATTATTCTGTTATATAATACAAATAATGCTGAACATTTTTTTACATTTTGAAGAGCATATTCTGTTGGTACTACATCACTTACTTCTCATATTTGTTGAATAACTAATCATTAAAAAAGAAACAATATATGCTCATGGGGACCTGGTGACTGCATTTTCAAAGATGGCAGTTTGCAGAGAATATTGTACACAGGCTCTGGCATTGAGATACCATTTATGTCTTCCCTTGAGCTAGTCCGTTCAAACACATTTCTATGCCTTGTTTTTGTTTTACAGCCATATAAATAGGTCCAAGTTTAATATATTTTGCAGACTAAACCAAAACTTGTACTTTTTAGGTTTTATAACCTGCATATGTTTTATTTGCAAAAAGTTTAACAGCACAATTATTACCAAATCACAAACAACAGCTTTTTTAGGTTAAAAAACTATTTAAAGCGAACTCTCCCAAAGAAAAAAAAAAAGGAAAGGTGCGTACAGCTCTGCAGGATGGACTGTAAACCTTTTCTAGTGCAATGTTGAATAAATGTTATTTTGGTAACCTTACAATTACATTTATTTTCCACAAAGATGATGTGTAGTCACATTCTCCTATGATTTAGCATGGTTTGTTAATGTTTATACATTGCCATTCCTTTAGTAATGTGAGTGCCATTAAGTGTAATGATGGTTATATTGCTAAAGCCATTGCAAAATATGAACAATAACGGCAGATCTCTTGGTGTAGTGGTTAGCACTGCTGCCTTGTAGCACTGAGATTTCCTGGTTCAAATCCCAGTCAGGACAATATCTGCAAGGAGTTTGCATGTTCTCACTGTGCTTGTGTGGGTTTCCTCCAGGTACTCTGCTTTTCATTTCAAAGACATGCTGAAAGGTTAATTTGTTCTTGTCTAAATTGGCCCTCATGTGAGTTATTTACCTTAGACTGTAAGCTCCTTAAAGGCAGGGACTGATGTGAATGTGCTACTATTTAAATTGTCAGCGCTATATTAATACCTGTAATAAATAAATATGGCTCTCTCTATTAGACTTGTGCGCCGTCAAAAAATTAGTTCCGTTTCGTTTCGTTCCATTTCGTAATATCCATTATTTCGTATTTCGTAATTCATATCCGAAACTCAATTCGGATTCGTACGAAATACGGATTTTCGTTAGTTTCGGCACGTTTTCGTAACTTTAAGAACATTCGTTATGATGAAGGTAAAAAGCAAAAATACCTTTGTTAATATTGGGGTCTATGTGGTAGTTGTTTTTGTATCCGAAATGCAAATTCCATTAATGGATTCCGTATCCGAATTTCGTATTTCGTATTAAAAAAAACTACCATCAACTCCAATATAAATGTACTTTGCTTTTTAACTTCAATATAACGAATGTTCGTAACGGAACGAAAACACGTCAATGGAAATTTCGTATTTCCTACCTGTATATTGTAATGCAACTCTCAGCAGCAGAAGAGAACCTCTGATTGGTCAACCAAAACGAAATATGAATTCCGTTAACGGATTCCGTATCTGAATTTCGTATTTCGTATTTAAAAAAACTACCATCAGCATCAACTCCAATATAAATGTACTTTGCTTTTTACCTTCAATATAACGAATGTTCGTAACTGAACGAAAATACGTCAACGGAGTTTTGTATTTCCTGCCTGTGTATTGTATTGTAATGCAACCCTCAGCGGATCCGTATTTCGGATTTAAAAAAAATCTTGTTAGTTGTTCAACCTCATTTACAGGGGTAATATTAGTTCCTGTTTCAAATAAATTTGCATCCGAAATTCGTTAACGGAATTTCGTATTTCGGACATAAATTCGGAAACTGCCATTCGGATTTCGTATGCTTACGAAACTACGAATTTCAGGAAAATTAGTACGAAGTTCGATTCGTAACGAAACGAATCGCACATGTCTACTCTCTATTGATATATTGGAACAGTGAGTTTAGCTACTCAAAAAATGTATTGTTTTTAAGGAATACCAGGTGAAAGAAAAAAAAAAAAAAAGAAAGGTAGCCACCTCATCTAAGGAATGGTAAGCTGCAATATATTATATTTTTGTTTGAGGGTTTGGCTACACTTTAGCGTACAGGATGTTATTTCTAATTTAAATAAGTTACTACGTTTTGAACACCATCATCCCCTGTATATTACTTTATTAAAAATAAGTAAGTGATGTTTCCATTTTTCATTGTAATATATTCCTCATGTATATACACAAAAGACATCATCTAAAACAAAAGTTTACATGAGATTAAAAATCAGCCTATACATTTGCCATTTCTGTAAAGGGCAGCATGACAAGAAAAGACATATGATATTTTATCTGAATGTGTAATAAAGTTATGTTTAGAGTCTGCCATCTGTTTGGTTTAAAATTTAAATATTTTAAAATGGAATTAGGGAATTGTTATTTTTATTCTACAATATTGCTTCAAAAATAACATGAGAAAGTACAGGCACAGGAGAAAAAAGGGGCTTTATTTTAAATAACAGTCATATCATATAGCTTTCCTTTGGAGTTGTGTTTCTATTTAAGGAACCCATTAAAATAATGGATTCCACCCCTCCACCACCTCCAAAGCTGCATTTAAATAAGGGCAGTTGACTATAAAGAAGCTAAACCTAACAATCTGGATCTTTTATTGTAGAGCAAACTGCAGGCATTGGTGAACTTTTTAAATAACATGTATATGGACTCAGATAATCTTACTTACCAGTGATGGAGCAAAACACAGTAACCCATAGAATGAGTAAACATTTGCATTTCATGGTTAAGAATACAGTAAATTAAAGTATCAATAATTTCCACTGGCTTTTATCTTTTGTAAGCCTGACAAATAATGTTTGTTTACAAAGCCTTTGGCCAAGGGGCTACATGATTGCAGATAAATATATACATATGCAGGTTTCTTCTGTACGATCCTTGTTACATGGTTGCTAGAAAATCAGATTTCAGTTTGTAATGCCCTTTCATATGATGCAATACATACCTTTTCATGTAGGATTAACCTTTTATCATACAACTATTCATAAACATAAAAATGGGAAAAAATGGAAGACATCTAAAATGAGGGAAAGAAAAGTTACCACGGTAACTGTGTCATTTGACACACTGTAAAATGCTATTATGTGTGATATCATACTAAAACTCAGAATAGTTAGGATTTAATCTGTGTATTATATGAGATTTGAGTCACATTTCATTTTCTCAGATGACATTTTAACGATAAAAAAATCTAGTGATTATATTAAATTTGGAAGGGCTTACCTATAAATTAATCCCTGACGTATGCATTTGTACAGGCGTAGATCTAGATCAAGTATCAGTTCTAGCCTAAAGACCATATACTGTATATTTTCAGAAATAGATCTAGATGACAGTAGCAGATCTTGTGTCATTTGTAGATCTGGAATCTATGAAAAGGGTTAGCCTCAATAACAGATTATTATTTAAAGCCCGACCACGGGCTCCCGACTCCCCGCCCCCAGTGCCCCCCTACCCCTGAGGTCTTCCAGGCGTATTTTGTGTGTGTGTGTTTTTTTAATACTTGCCTTTGCCTTTTAAGGCCATTCATGTGATTCCAGAGGGTCATCTTCTCCTCACGTGATGGTGTTCAATGTTACAAAGAGTGATGCTGTTGTCATGATATCAGAAAAGCTCTCTTTGCATCTGTGCTCTGTGCATACAAGGCCCTATGGTGATGCCCTCCCAGAAAAGGCAACATTTCACACAGAAGAATGAGGACATTTTGAGGCAGGGAGGGGCAGCTCAAGAGAGGGGATGAGTATTCAGCCAGGGCTTTTTTATTTTTAACACCTCTCTTAGAAATTTAAAGTGTAAGTATAGTTTTATGACTATAGCATTTATTTAGCCCCTTAATCCTTCAATACTGCGGTGTCATTATTTCCAAGCACAATTTTTTCTTCTGCATTCCTACCCCCACAATGTCAGTAGCCTATGAACTTTTGGAAATGGCCAAAGAGGCATCTCCCATGCCTAATTTTCGACATTTGTCTTGGTGGCAAGGGAATGTCATTCACTGGAATGTCTAGACAAATCATAGATCAGGTCAGTGGGCAGCTTTAGAGGTAGGAGGGCAGATTTAAGTCACATAGTTACATAGTTACATAGTATTTGAGGTTGAATAAAGACATTAGTCCATCAAGTCCAACCTATTAGGATCTCATTCTAGGAGTACCTGTACCCCTGTATATTACGGTCCCTTAAGAAATCGTCCAAAAGTTTCTTGAACAATTCCACATTCTTTGCTGAAATCACTGTCTGTGGCAGTGAGTTCCAGACCCTAACTGATCTTACTGTGAAGAACCCCCTTCGCCCCTTGTGCTGGAATTTTTTTTCCACCAATTTTAGGTGGTGGCCTCTAGTTTTTGTAATGGAGTTAATTTTAAACAGTTTATCGCTAATGTTGCTGCCACCATTGAACATTAAGGACTTTCAGTGGGGCTACCCCCGCACTGCAAAGGTTAAGTGCTTGTTTTGGTCTAGGGGCAAAAACAAAGAAATACTCACCGCTCACCTCTCCCGACCTTCGCTCCAGCTGTGATATATCTCTTGGTGTCCTCACATCTAAGGAGACACTTATTCCACTGACAACTGTTTAAGGGGGTATTCCCTTCATTTGGTGGAGCTATATTTCATTTACTGTCATGTCAACAGGACATAATGGGACAAAGATGACAAAAAAAGCCTGACATGAGTTTCTGCCATTACATACTCCATCCAAAATGAAAAAAAGGTTTTGTCTTTAGATGCACTTTAAGAATTAACATGTAAGAACTCTTTGAATAAAGGACCTAAATATCAAACTCATAGATTGTCCTGTGCTTGTAGGTTATACCATTTTGCAGCTGTAACTAAATGACTATTGTTTTTGCAAGCTCAGTGAGATCTCGATATTGATTTTTTTATTTGTAAAAAAACCCCATACCTTTATAGTTTCTTCTTCTGGTATCGGCAGAGCTAGAAATTGTGCATACATTTCATAAGGTACTCCTTCCTCAAGTGGTGCTGGAAATGGGGTTTCTGCAGGCTTGGCAATCTCTACTACTACCTGCAGATAGAAGAGAATACAGTTTGTATGAAAACAACATTCTGTTTACAATGTCTTGTATTATAGTTGTAAATGTAACACCTGAAAAAAAGATTTTTGTACTCACTGTAAAATCCTTCTCTTAAGGATTCACACACAGGATTAAAAGACAGTTGGATTATACTGCTGTCACAGAAGGATTTGCACACTAGCAAACAAAAAACAGTGAACAGCCCGGTAAAACCCCTCCAGCTCTGAGTTATTGTTTGAAACAAAGCAGTGCTGTGAATAAGACCATAAACAGGGGTAGGACATGTGTCTCTAAATGAACTTCAAGAAAATAATTTTACAGTGAGTTTTCTCATTCATTGAGGGACACAGGATTCAGAGACATTTAGGATGTCCAAATGCAGTCTGAATGAGGGGTGGGCATCACAGTAAACAAAACGCCAAAAGACTCAGTAAAAAAATAACTGGGGACTGCTTGTAGCCGAATGAGCTGCCTGAAGGAGCTTACGTCCAAAGCTGGCATCAGCTGATGTCTGGTAGAACCTAGAATACATATGAATAGAAGACAAGGAGGTAGCCTTGCACATATGGTAAAAGGTTATTTGATACTGTAAAGCCCAAGAAGCACTTGTGGAACCAGATCATTAAGACCGTAGGCTAGTACAACGATTTGTCTGAGCCACCAAGAAATGGTAGAGTAAGAAGCTAGTTCCCCTTTGCAGGACCATCTGTGATGAAAAAGAGGGACTCCATCTTCCTAATGGAAACAGTAACCTCAAGATAAACTCATATAAAAAGAACAACATTAAGACAATGAAGGGAAATCTCCATCAGTAAGGAAGTAAAGAGGTTTTAGGCCTTAACACTACTTGGTCTTTATGTAGGATCAGAAAGAATTCGTTATAAGAGAAGGCAACCATTTCAGAAACACGTCTCGCAGAGGTGATGGCAATCACATTTTGAGTAAGAATGGAAAGGGGAATGTCTCTATTAGGTTCAAAGGACAGTTTTTTAATTGTTGACAGAACCAAATTCAGATCCCACAGAGAGACAGCTGCATTTGCAGGGGAAGCCACATGGGCTTACTGTAATCCTCATACCTCTGGCCTTGCCCAATCAGATGTGGTACTTAATTAGACTCCTGGAAGATGCTTCACGGGCTCTTCCAGATCAATCAGATCTTCTGTAATACACACCAGATTACCATCCTTTACCATTACCATCCTTTACAGTCACTGTGGACAGTGATGTCCACGGTGATGTGACTGGCATGGTCGGGGATATACCATGTTGGGTTAACAGACAGTGTGGCCTCTCATTTGTTGTTAGAGCCTGATGAAAACGTTTGTTTGTGAGTACTTTTATCCCTTGTTTTATTTATTGTAATTAACGATTTTACACACGGAGGTGGCGCTCTGTTCCCTTTTTGTTTTCTATATTCGTGGTGGAAGCCCCAGAGCCTTGGATGAGCAGCCTCTCAAGTCTGTGTAAAAAACTGTGATAAACTGTTGAAAACTTTGAGTGTGCAACAGCAAGGGGATTGTTCAGCTGGCAGCCATTAGCGCCAAGAGCTAAAGAAAACTTTTTGCCAAATGCTCCGATGCCTACCCCGATACCGAAACTTCTTGTATAAGGAAGCTGGGTACTTGTACTCGATACTGGAAAAACTGCTATCAGTGCATCCCTAGTATGGACCATTCCCCTGGCTCCAGAGGTTGCTGGCTGGGGAAGTCCATACCTTCTGCCACTGCTGTGGCATTGTCTGGCTGGATCCTCATCAAATGACCCACATGTCAGGATTTCCTGCATTGTAGGGACAGCCAAATCACCCGACACTCCAGAATATTGATTAGCAAATGGGATTTCTCCGGTGTCCAAGTCCACTGCACTGGTGTCTAGGATTTCTCCCCAGTCTTTTAGACTAGCATCTATTGTGTGGATCCTCCAATAGTTCAGAAGGAACGATTTCCCCAACTGCAGAGCTGGATTTGTGAGCCACCAGGCTAAAGACCATTTAGTCCTCAGTGGCAGGGGAATTGGTTTGTGTAGAGACTGAATCTATATGTCCCACAATGACAGCATGTTGAGTTTGAGGGGCCTAGAGTGGAACTGGAAAAATAGGATTGCGTTGAAGAAAGCTACCATCAGCCCCAGGACTTTCATGCAAAAGCAAAGAGTTGATTGACTCCTGGACTGAAGAGTGTGAGTCTGGGAGCAGAGAGTTTTGGGTTTCTCCAGAGGGAAGCAAAATGTTTGTTTGGGCTTTAAATAGGAATAAGCCCAGATACTCCAAGTGATGAGTCAGCTCCAACACTGTTTTCTGAAGGCTCAGGATCTAACCAAACTTTTCTAGGTTTTGAACTCTCCGTGTCACATTGTCGGTCAAGATTAGTGCCGACTGCAACTTCAGAAGCAGATTGTCTAGTTTGTTTAGATACCCCATAATACGGATATTGTGGGAGCATAACAAGGAAAGTAACAGGGGCTAGAACCTTGTTGGAAGGAGGGAAGCAAGCTATGACAGACCTGGTGGATTCCATGCAGAATCTTTGGGTCCTAATGAAGACATTTAGAGCTCTGAGATCCAAGATGGGACAAATACCCTGTATACACTGCGAAAAGGTTGGAATAAAATCCCTGAAACCTTTTTGCTACAGCAACTGAAGTAATAACCCCCTAATCCAGAAGACCTGCTAGAGCTGCATGAATGTCTGCTAACCTGTGCAATGACACAGAAAGGTTGGAGGGCATGAAGCAAGGAGGCAGCTGAGAGCCGGACTTTAGTTTGAAGTGGAAACCAACTCTCTATCCCTGGAAACTAACTCTCTATCCCAAGCATCTGAAATGCAATTTTTATAGATGTCCACTAAGGATAACAGACAATACGAAAAGTGGTGGAGTGGAAGGAAGCCTACCGGGAACTGTTTGGTGATCATGAGCCACAGGGACCCGATAAAGCAGGACTTCTCTCCTTGTGTTAGGTTCCAACATGTTGCTCTGTTTGGCAGGGACAACTTCATTCACAGTACTGGGTAAAATCTTGGGTACTCATGAACCAACTGCTCAGAGCAGGAGAGGTTCAAATGCCCAGAGGTTACCAGGTCACTGTAGATGACAAGGACAAACAGAGCAAGGAGTACAAGTGTGCAACACTCCAGCTAATGGCGCAGCACTCCATTCCTCCAGTGGGAAAAAGGGAAAAGTAATGGCGCCCAATGGTCCTAATTAACAAAGAAGCTCCCTATACTCATCCCACATGGTCTACTCATAAATTAGTATTTTAGAGACAGGGTAGCACCAGAGGCTATGCAGTGGCTCTGGATCTGGAAAGCGCTCTGTGGCTAACACAGTACACAAAGGTCTGAAAAGCACTAAATGCTGAGTTGGGTGTCCAAAGGTGACAATCCGGACAGGCCCTGTAATTATCCAATCCAGTGGGGTCCAGGTACAGCCTCTAAAGCTGTTGCAGTAATTATGCCGCTTTGGATAGCTGCATAAAGCGACTTGCTAAAGTAGCGTGTAACAAAGTCTGACTGTAGACAAAATGATCTTGAGAACAAGTTAAAATGGCTAGTAAAATGGTTAACCATCTCTTAGTAGAAAAAAAAATCATCCATCCTCCTAGGACACTAGCATAAAATGAGGCATGCTGGGAGTATGAGGGGTTATACCAGGTTGGTTACTTTTTTGTGTGTTAGTGTCTAAATCCTCCTGTAGTCAGCAGTATAAGCCAGATCTCTCTGAATTATGTGTCCCTCAATGAAGAAGAAAGAGATTAGTGTTTATATAATATTATGTTTTACACAATTGTGTCATACGCTTACTATTTCACGCAAGAGAGGGCACACCTATGTTTTTGTCACATGCTTCATAAAAAAGTACAAAGTTAGTTATATTAGACAGATGATGTTCGTGTTCATAAAAAATGTTCTAGATCATCTCACCTTGACTTACTGTACTACATGTTTCAAAGCAGAATACCAGTAAAAAAATGTATAGCAAGTTAAAAGATAAAATATGAAGCCATACCATAATATATATATATATATATATATATATGTAATTGTAAAGACATAGAAATAAATGAAAAATATGTATATAAACTATTTAGTGATTGGTTAAAAAGCAATTGAGGTCGAAATCTATATTTAGCCCCTTCGGCGCCATAGTGTCCAGAAGAAAGATCCACTTGGATTCATTTTTTGAGATTTCTCTTATGAGATTTGAACCCCTCCAATGATTTTTTATTTTATCTATCCC